ACAACACTGAGACAACATGTCCTCGAGCAGGACAACACTGAGACGACGTGTCCTTGAGCAGGACAGGCTGATGTCCTCGAGCTGCTCTGACGGATGGTTTAAAGATCCGCAGATTAAACTGATCTCTCTCTGAGTCACAAACGTTTCCTCCAAAGGAAAACTGCTCCCACGTCGGGATTTAAAGAGAATAAAAGATTTTCTTCCATAACGATCAGGGTAAAACATAAAGATGCTTCAATGTTCCCGTGTTTGCGTCACGAAGGAGGTTTTCTTTGAGTTTTGTTGCTTTTAGTTTCTCCTCCGCCCGTTTATCTCAGAATTCATTTTTACTGACGAGGCTTTAATGAGACGTTTCCTGCAGCTCGAACTTACTGTTGTTCAGTGGAGACACGCAGAGCAGACGGGAGGACGTGGACACGTCTCTGCGGACTGGACACTCCTGTCCACAGATCAGCACCACAGAGTTAGCTGGGTCAAAACCAGAACCCAGGATGGACAGCAGAGCTCCGCCACCAAAACTCCCTGAGTCACAGATGAAGAGGAATAATTTAAATAAATGTGGACGTGCAGAAAACTCACAGCTGAAAAACAAAAACAAAGATTAAAGCTGGAAGAACAAATTTTAATAATTTATTTTCAATGAAACCTGAAACTGATGTGGTTTAATTCCCCTCTAGAATTTGTTGTTTTTGTTACGTTTTCAACAAATACATTTGGAGAAACAATCATGATGAAAAGAGAAACCGGACACAAGGAAGCACAGCCCAGTGGACCTCTGGTTCTGGTCCCAAGCCCGGGTAAATGGTGAGGGTTGTGTCAGGAAGCACATCCGATGTAAAACACTTTGACCAAAACTACAATGAGAGTTCATCAAAGAGAAACCACCGGATCAGTCGAGGTCCGGGTTACCAAGGACCTCCACCGGTGCTGGTGACAAACAGGGTGCCGGTGGAAACTGTTACTGTGAGTTGAAGACCATGAGGAGGGAAACGTGTCAGGAGACCGAGGAGAAGAGGAAAGTCAAGAATGTAGGACTGAGGGTTGCAACTGTAAATGTGGGGACAATGACAGGTAAAGGTAGAGAGCTGGCTGACATGATGCTGAGAAGGAAGGTAGATGTTTCATGTGTCCAAGAGACCAAGTGGAAGGGCAGCAAGGCTCGCAGCATTGGAGCAGGGTTCAAACAGTTTTACCATGGTGTGGATAGAAAGAGGAATGGAGTAGGGGTGGTCCTGAAGGAGGAGTTAGTAAAGAATGTAGTAGAGGTGAAGAGAGTGTCAGATAGGGTGATGTGTCTGAAGGTAGAAGTAGAAGGTCTGATGCTAAATGTTGTCAGTGGTTATGCTCCACAGGTTGGATGTGATGTGGAGGAGAAAGATACATTTTGGAAAGATCTGGATGAAGTGATGGAGAGTATTCCCAGGGAGGAGAGAGTGGTGATGGGAGCAGACCTGAATGGACATGTTGGTGAAGGAAACAGAGGATGAGGAAGTGATGGGTAGGTTTGGTGTCGAGGAAAGAAACCAGGAAGGACAGATGGTGGTGGATTTTACCAAGAGAATGGAAATGGCTGTAGTCAACACCTGTTTCCAAAAGAGGGAGGAGCATAGAGTGACCTATCAGAGTGGAGGAAGGAGTACGCAGGTCGACTACATTCTGTGTAGAAGAGGAACCCTGAGGGAGGTTGGAGACTGTAAGGTTGTGGCAGGGGAGAGCGTGGCCAGACAGCATCAGATGGTTGTGTGTGGAGAAAGAAGAGTAGAGCTCATAGAAACTGTGGACCAGGAAGTGGTAAAGATTAGTGAGGGTGAAGTCCAGGAAGCTCTGAAAAGAATGAAGAAGGTGAAGGCAGTAGGACCTGATGACCAGTGGAGCACTTGAAAGAAGAGGAATGAAAGTCAGCCGTAGAAGACAGAGTCCATGTGTGAATGAGAGGGAGGAGGTGGAACAGTGAGGCTACAAGGAGCAGAGGTCACAAAGGTGAAGGACTTCAAGGACTTGGGGTCCACTGTCCAGGAACATGGGGAGTGTGGTGAAGAGGAGAAGAAGAGAGTCCAGGCAGGATGGAGTGGATGGATGGAGAAAAGTTTACAAGACAGTGGTGAGACCAGCTATGTTGTACGGTCTGGAGACAGAGACATGGACAAAAAGACAGGAGACAGAACTGGAGGTGGCAGAAATGAAGATGTTGAGGTTCTTCTTAGGAGAGACAAGGATGGAGAAGATCAGGAATGAGATCATCAGAGGTACAGCACAGGTTGAACAACTGGGAGACAAAGTTAGAGAGGACACACTGAGATGGTTTGGACATTTCCAGAGGAGGGACAGTGGTTTGGACATGTCCAGAGGAGGGACAGTGGTTTGGACACGTCCAGAGGAGGGACGGTGGTTTGGACATGTCCAGAGGAAGGACGGTGGTTTGGACATGTCCAGAGGAGGGACGGTGGTTTGGACATGTCCAGAGGAGGGACGGTGGTTTGGACATGTCCAGAGGAGGGACGGTGGTTTGGACATGTCCAGAGGAGGGACAGTGGTTTGGACATGTCCAGAGGAGAGACACTGGTTTGGACACGTCCAGAGGAGGGACAGTGGTTTGGACATGTCCAGAGGAAGAACAGTGGTTTGGACACGTCCAGAGGAGGGACAGTGGTTTGGACATGTCCAGAGGAAGAACAGTGGTTTGGACATGTCTAGAGGAGGGACAGTGGTTTGGACATGTTCAGAGGAGAAACAGTGGACATGTCCAGAGAAGGGACAGTGGTTTGGACATGTCCAGAGGAGGAACAGTGGACATGTCCAGAGGAGGGACAGTGGTATATTGGTAGGATGTTAGAAATGCAGCTGCAAGACAAAGATAAAGAGGAGACATATGGATGCAGTTAGAGAGAACATGGAGGTAGTTGGAGTGAGGACAGAGGACATGTTGAGGACAGAGGACATGTTGAGGACAGAGTGAGATGGAGGACTTGCTGTGAAGACCTCTGCAGAGGGAAAAGCTGAAAGAAGTCGTGATGAAAAGAGAACACTCCATTTGATGTGTCAGGTGTTAGATGTTCAACATTTAAACCTTTAAAATCTAAATTTAAAAACTAAAAATGTTTTTGTTTAAATGTCTTACATTGAGTTTTATGAATGTATTTTCCATAAAAACAGTATTTAAGCCCCAGAAAATGTGAGAAAGTTCAGTAAAACCAGGAGATGATCTGTTGTTACCCTCGCTGGGCTGCACGCTGCTGAGCATCAGCTCGTACGAGAACGCTGCCTTCGACTGCGCGTGACCTTTGACCTGATGATGTAACAGGACAGGATAGGTGCCCCCCGGGTTGCTTCCCGCGGTGCACTGGAGCTGAGTGTCGGAGACAGCCGACACGTTGCAGGGAACGTAGTTCATGGTGACGGAGACGAGTTGAGGGTCGGAGCCAAACCCTGATCCAGTCAGCGTGAGGACGGCGCCGCTCGGCCCTGTGGGAAAACGGACAAAGAGACGCCGGCTAATGTTGAACACAAACAGAAACTAGTTTGATGCTTGGTCTGTGAGACAGAGGCACCTTTGTTCTGCTGCTGCATGTTTCTGAGTTTTACTGGCAGACTGAATCTCCATGAAACTCTTCTCTAACATAAAATGAATAAAATGTTGTTTTTGCAACATGCCAGTTCTTTTAAATCTATAGAAATATGTAAAATGACCAATCAGTGCATACTCTGAGTAATCTAGAGCTTTTCTAAGTTAACATTTGAGTTTCTGTTAAAAACTAACGTGTAGCTGTCAACAAGCCGTCAGGATGACTCTGTTCATGGAAGCATGAGCTCGTTAACTAAAGGAAACACGGCTCCTCCGACTCAAAGGAACGACGGTCCTGCAGGTATTTACCAGCGTTGGGGCTGACGGCGCTGATCACCGGCGTGAGGGCGGCGGAGTAGTTGAAGCTGAGAGCTGGGTACGTCACAGCAAACACCTGGACGATGACGCTCACCGGTCCTTCACCGTGAGGAGACGTCAGGCAGCGGAGGAGACCCGGACTCACCTCCAGGATTGTGCAGGTTTTACCGCCAACCGTCACGCTCGTGTTTCCAGGTGCGAAGCCGTTTCCTGTGAAGACGAGCGGCGTTCCTCCTGCCAGGCTGCCTGCACCGGGGCTCAGGGCGGCCCGGGCACGACTGCTCAGCTTCACGTTACCTGATGCCAGGCCTCTGCTCCGCACGATCACCTGTACTGGGTAGGTACCTGCGGGCAGAGCGCCGACTCTCACCGTGATGTTACCGTCAGTCACGTCAGTCACTTCCATTTTTGTGGAACCGACAAAAACTGCCACGTCATCCACATGGCTGCCGAAGCCCGAGCCCGACACGGTTACATCAGTCTGACCGTCGGTGCTGTTGGGGGAGAGGCTGCTGACGCTGGGGGTGACTGAGGAGGAGTACTGGAAGGAGCAGTCTGAGCTGCAGGAGCTTCGGATGAGACCTAGTTTGAAGATGACATCATCGGAGTGCTGCTGAGACGCCGCGGTGTCGCAGATGATGTGGGTGTAGTTCACCGACCGGACGCTGCAGGGCTCGCCGGCTGCTGTTACTCCGCCCTCAGAGAACCCAGAACCGCTGATGAGGAGCCTCGTGTAACCGTTGGGGCTGCCGATGGGAGGAGAGACCGAGTCGACCACCGGCAGGACGACGAATCGACGGTCGAACTCGTTCACGATGGCCACGATGGCGTCGCCAAGGTTGTTGACCCTGACAGCTACGGGGAGGGCGACGCCGATGGGGAGCATGGTGTCGGAGCGGAGCTGGCAGTTGATCTCTGACTGGGTGCTGTTGATCACCTGACATGGTTCACCTCCGACTGTCACCTGCAGGACATGAAGTTAGAAAAGTTCACTCAAGTTCTTGAGAGGGAAGTGAACTCTGCACAGGAAATCTCAAACTGGCCGTTCATCTGGAGACAACATGGCTGCAGTAAGAACACTGAATGATCCGGTAAACTAAGGTCAGGACGTTGACATGCTGGGTGCACAAGTGGATCTACTGAACAGGGGTCGTAATGTTATGGCCATGTATTTCACCGAGGAGCTTGTTCCGCATCAGTAACGTGGTCATTATGACATCTCTGCAAACATGAGAACACGCAGCTGAAGGTGGCTGAAGTCTGCTGACCTCGTTAGCGCAGGCGACCTCACTGAAGCCCTGACCCTGGACGTGGATCACTTGGTGGTACGAGCCCTGGTTGGGGGAGATGGAGCGGACGGTGGGGGTGGAGCAGGCGGAGAAGCTGAAGAAAAGCTCATCTGAAGTGTGGTTGGTCTGTTGGCACGGTGGTGAGGCGACGCAGTCTGCTGCTGCTCTGGAGAGGCGGCGTGAACCTGCAGGTGACACTCGTGATCAGCTGTTGAACAGTTTTCATCTGTTCTTCGTGCCAGGTGCACGTTCCTTCGTTTAGTCAGAGTTACCTCCAGGACCACGCTTGGCCTGAACGCCTCCCACACTGACGGAGACGTCGCCGCTCCTCTCCTCCAGAGCCTCGACCTTAACGACTCCCTGCAGCACGATGGCGCCGGCGGCGTCGATGTAGCCGCTGCTGTAGTAGTAGACGCCGGGCACCGAGAAGCGGTAGCTGAAAAACCCTGAGGAGCCAGAGACATGGACAGGACTCCTGTTAAAGGTGCTCATGGCAAAGTTTGAAATAAAACAAGAGAAAAGTCCTCTGGACATATACCAAAGGTGCTTCCTCCAGATGTTTGGTTTTATAAATCTGAAATGTGGGTCTGCACTACACGTGCACAAAACTGAATAAAACTCTGTGGAAGCTCGAGAGACGGACCTTCATCAGGCCGGCTGTAATCTGTGAGTTTACATAAAGATGGTGGAGTCACAGACACCGGTGAGTTTATTGTGTCAACTCGAGTCTAACGCTCTGAACCAGGGGTGTCCAGATGTTTTCATCATGGCGCTCCTTTTAAGACAACCAAGTCCAAGTGCTCCACCTGCTATAAGGCACAAGAACAACCTCTGGAAACTTTAGTGTTTCTTCAATAATAAACAAAAAATGAGCAGGTTTACATGAAAAACGCTGTAGTTTCCGTGTCAGTCGGGTTGCCAGATAAGAAATGATGAACTGTAGTTCATGTGGGTTTAAAATGAAAGTATTTTGAGCTAAACTGTCAGATGTGCTGAGTGAAGATATTCTAAGATGAGGTGTGTGTTTGTTGAACATGTGCACAGAAAAGGAGGTGGTAAATAAGATATTTTATATTTATCTGGCAACCCTGATGCAGAGCTCAGCTTCATTCATCGTGCATGAAGCGTCTGCATGATCAGTTAAATACACTGACATCTCCTTGGAGCCTGGAGTTTATTAGTTTTGCTCCTACATATTGAAA